TACCATCCAACAGACCAACACCTGAATGTTAACAGAATGAAAGCAGCGCCACCTACTGGGCAAATCATCCTCATGCCTTCTCAACGAAAGGGAAGCTGAAATATTAGTTATTAGTAAAATTAAACATCTACAGGTCGTTTACAAAACAGAAGGATTTGTTTAACATGGTATAATATATTTTTCGTCACCCTTAAATATGTAAGTACTTCAGCCTAAATGTATACATCATTACTTAAATATAATTTTTATTTTATAATATTAATTAACAATAAAAAATAAAAAATGTGACATCCATCCAGTATTTGTCTTGAACTACTAATATTCTGTTTCCAGTAGTTTTTTAATATTAATATTTATCAATATTATTAATTCACTGATAACATGAATGATCAATTCAAGCTGCTTAAATGACTAAATCTTTAACAGAAATATAGCTGTTATAGTTATTATAATCGTCAGCTGGGGTTTTGGTGATTTTAGTGGACGTCATTTTTCTGAAATATTCTGATTCTAAAGTGAGTTTGAGCATCTTTCCTCTATTTTGCACATGCAGTGGTGTTTGAGAGTTCAGATGTGAACGAATGCTGTGTGTGTGATGATGATGTGTAAAGGGTGTTTGGCTCAGAACCAGGTGTGTACAGCAGACCGACTTTATGAGTCTAATCAGTGATTATGAAATGTGATGTGCAAATGTGACAGTGTCACAGTGACAATGCTGGAGCTGAGTCAGAGCATCAGGATATATAACTAAACATAAAATATTTCAACCAACTCTGAACACGAGACGCAAGCTTGGCATGTGCTCATCGTGTGCCGTGATGCTGCTGGTTTATTTTTGTTCACCATCTAGTCAAACATGGCTAAATGTATGTCTCTTGTGAACTTAAAAAGCTTTTGGTCTAAAAGCTCTTAACCTCGTGTTGTGTTCTGGTCATTTTGATCTGCTGAAAATGTCCTGAAAATGCTAGTTAACATCATCACATTGCACTGAAACTTACTGACTTTGCTCAAAATAATAACCATTTCTGTACTTTTTTTGGATTTTCCCCCACTTGTGTTGTTCCTGCTCAAAAACGACCAGTCTACAAAATTGCTTATTAGTGTCTCGTCATGTTATATACTATCACAAAATATCAGATTCAATCTTTTTGTAAACCTATTTTCTTTCAATTAGCAAAGGTTTTGTGTTTTTTTCTTTTATGGGGCTGATTAATCGTAGGCCTCATTTGATCTGAGCTCATGCGCCTCAGTTTTTGAGTGAATAAAAGCATTATTTGTGGATAATTTTGTCAATATTCACTCAAAAACTTAAGTTCAGATCAACCAATCAGTTCCAAAAAGAAATACAAAACCTGTGTTAAAAAAAAGGAAATGAGTTGACAAAAATATAGTTGATAATATAGTATAATCAGAGATTTACAAGCAGTTTTTTACTACAAAAGTCATATATATATGTGACCCTGGAGCACAAAAGCAGTGTTAAGTCGCTGGGGTATATTTGTAGCAATACACATTGTATGGGTCAAACTTATCCAACATTATGAAGCTGCAGGCCCGGAGGCCCAACTGCACGCTCAGACCTGTCGTTTTTTCAGACAGTGCTTTCTGCTGTTTGGATGAACATTTGTTTTGTAGCGTGTGTACCGTAATAATTTCCAACATTATAAAACTGCTAGCAAGTAGCAACATCGGACACGTGAGTAAGGTTATTAATTTTATTAAAGCGATTCCTGAAAATTACCAGGTTTTATGGCATAAATCAATGTGACATCTTATTACACCAACAAACGAATAGCCTATTTTAGTATTTAATGATAGTTTAGATAGATAGTTCGACAAAATAAGCCGTGAATTTTGTTCTCCCCAGTTATTTTCAAACACGTGGTGCGTAACCTATTATTGCTAGCTTAGTCAGTGTTTGATTTGATCAAAATTAGTGTCGAAAGATAGCATTATTTTATAATATTTACAGCTTGCTCTTATTTTGTGTTATTGTACCATTCTAGGATACTTAATATGTTTTCTAACAAAATAAAAAACATTAAAGTAAAAATGTTAAAATAAAATGTAATACAATTATTATTTGTAACATATTTTAGTACTATGTAGGTCTACTGTACGTATTACTGTATTAACTACTATTATTTCATACTAATATTACTACTACATTTACTATTAGTAGTAGTAGTATGTGTAAGAAAAATAATATTGCACGTTCTTTTTATTGTACTTTACAAATCTCAAAGTGCTACCACAGACAATAACAGTAACACAATAACAGTGTAACAATTAGAAATAAGTTCTGTAATAATTACAAATAAGATCTTTGGAATAAAATGCGGCCTTGAGTTTATTTTCATCAAAATATCAAGTAATCTGCGTAGAATTGACAATATGAGCTCTGTTGGGTTGTCTAAATAATTTGCGTGTGACTTGTGTATTTTTTCCCAGATGGATATTACAATTCAAAAAGGGGGGTCTCTGCCAGAACTAATACAGTGCACCAAATGCTGCAGTCATTTCCACTGTCCATTTTGTGATGCCTCAGTTTTCCAACCAACACGGTTGGCAAAAGTGCAAACGCATCTGCAGGCACATTTCAATAGATCGGTCCAGCATGAAGGTAATATTTGCAGTGTGTGCATGTTTTATTTTATTAATTGGTTTATTTGTACAGGCCATCATTCATGGCCTTTGCGAGCTGCAGGGCTTGTCTTGGCAGGAGGCTGAAGAGATGTTCCTCCAGGGCCCCACTTATCACTCAAGGTATGTTTTAAATTTTTGTTTGTACAAAAACTGTTGGATTTTTGTGTTACACAACATTTCTGACAACAGCATTTATCTTTTCTTTTAGTGAAGTTGAGGAATTTGACAGAAGAATTGCTCGAGAAATGAAAAATCTCCCCAACAAGAATGTAAAGCATTTATTTTATTTGATGTTATTTAATATGTAATATATACATTATTAACCCAATTATTTTTTTCACCATTTTTCTCTGCATTGTTTACAGCTCGATGACTTGTAGGACCTCATGAAAAAGAATACAAAAATAAAGTTTGGTGTGAGAAAATGACTCCGAGCACTATAATTTATTGTATGTAAATATAGAGTTAATGTTCATCCCCTAACTCAATACTAAAGAATGTGATAAATCCTTAATAATTAAGAAAACAATAAATGACTATGAAAATATTTAAGTAACTGAACAATTTCTATTTACAAATACAATTAATAAAAATAAACCAGACTTAATGCATTAAATCATAACCTAGTATGTGTAATATTTTATATAATAATGCATTCAGTCATAGCGTAATATTTTATAGTAGAAAAATAGTGTAAGTTGCAATCTATCAGCAATTGAATTCAGGTTAGGTAATCTTATCTAATCAGGTTAGATAATCTTCCAAACAGCAGGTGGCACTGTCTGAAAAAACGATAGTTCTGGGAGTGCTGGTCTGAGCATGCAGCTTCACCCTCCTCAAACTATACATTTCTCTTTTATGCCAAAAATCATTCGGACATTAAGTAAAGATCATGTTCCATGAAGATATTTTGTAAATGTCCTACCGTAAATATATCAAAACTTAATGTTTGCACACACACAAACACAAACACTCACAAACACACACACACACAAATATATATATATATAACTTGAAGCTAAAAGTGACCTTCTCATGTCACGTGATGTATGAACGACCTCCTTCGAGTCTTTGGTCCTTGAGAGAACCGCGTAACCTTGCTCATCATTTACACCTGTACAGTATGTGCGCTAGAAACACCTGTCAACATGTTCTGCTCCCGAGTGAACTTTAATTGCTGTTCCATACATGAGCACATTCTCGGGGCGGGAGAGTTTTCCACTCAGAGCGCTCGTCTCTGATTGGTCGGAGCGCGTCCTGCGCTGGTGCGTGCGTCATCGGTGGGCGGGGCCTGAGCGGCAGTGTTCTCGGTCAAACGGCGGAAGCGGCGCGGTGTCCCCCAGCGGCTCTCGCGCATTAAACCTCTACAATACAACAAGAGCCATGAAGATCTGGACGTCAGAACACGTTTTCAAGTGAGTGAAGGTGTTATTTGTCGTTTTATTGCGGTGGAGGGATCGTGTGAGGGGTTTTAGCGCGTCTGAGGGAATGTGACGTCACACGAGGCGGCAACGCGTCCAACGGCTTCCTGTCAGTTTATCAAAATCAATATTTTTTAATATCCACTGTATTTTTTACGGTTCTAATGATATAACTTTAGAGTACCAAAAGTGTTAGTAATGTAAAAGTTGATTTAGTAACTTTAGTTATGCTAATGTAGTCAGAATCTGCAGTCGGTGACTTTCATCGAAACAACTAACGTTAATAACTATAACTACTACACACCCAGTGTTTGCTAAATGCAGTAAGTTAGATAAACAGTTGTGAAGTACTAACCGTTAGTTACACAAGCTAACCGCTATGTCCTTGGCAGCTGAAAGACTAGTACAGAATGATAATGCTGAGTTTGACTTCTGTTTTCAGTTTTAAAGATTAGATCTCATCAGTTGTAATCCTAGTTGTTCTTCAGAAGCGTCAGTACTAGTGGTTTTGGGTTTCAGTGGGTCAGCACGGCTTGAGATTAACTTCCCTGCTGGTTAGATAGTGTTCTGTCATATCTGTGGTGGACATTGGCTGATGAAATGGCTGAATTACTGATGTTCAGGTGAATCCGTGACCTTTGACCCCACGTGTGTGCCGCTCATTGCGCAACTCTCCTTGACCTTTCCCCTACATGGAGCTCCCGTCAAACGTCACGCGTCATGTGACCGCTGACGGTCTCCCAGGCAACCATTCATCTGAGCCGCCGGACGCTTCCTATAATAGCAGCTTATGCTGTTCCCAAACACTTGAAATAAAATAGCATGTTGATTTAATAACAAATAAACACAATACACGTACATTATATAACGTGAAATACTGTTTATTGTCATATTCATTAAGCAATTTGGTTTAAAAATTATTAGCCTTTTAAAAATAGTTTGTAAATCTCTCATTGTGTTATATTATTACCAAAAATTGGATTTGATCTTTTTATCAATAAAAGATCTTACACAGCTTGCTGCACAGGACAAGACACACACACACACACAAATCAATGTGTTTTCTGTCCATTAGCACAGGTTTTGAGTTTATTTTTTGGAGCTGACTGATCGTAGGTTTCATCGATCTGAGCTTAGGTTCGGTTTCTGAGTCTGAAAAGCATGATTTGTGGATAATTTTGGAAATATTTACTCAAAAACTGAAGTTTGAGTTCAGGATCAACGAGGGCTATGATCAGTCAGCTCCAAAAAGAAACACAAAACCTGTGCTAATTGGAAAAAAAACAAGTTAACTAACAAATTAACTCCATATATGTATAGCATATCATGAAATTTAAAAGCAGTTTTGTAAGGCTGGTAATTTTTGAACTGAAACACCACGAGTGTGTAACAAGGTGAAGAAAAAACAAATCCCAAAAAAATAGTTTTTTTCTAAATATAGTTGAAAGCAGACTATCATCAGTAGTTTTCAATGTCTTTTTGACATAATTTTAGTTCTTCCGAGCTCTTTGGCTGTGCGTCTCTTACAGAATTGTCGTTGTGGTTGTAAATCCAGTAGTAGTTTCAGACGTAATGCGGCTCATGATGGCTTTAACTGCAGGCGCTCCTCAGCGATCGTGTTACGGTTATGCACAGATGCATGCGGATGCATTATGTAACTCCGTCTCACACTGTCATATTGCACTTCAGCTCTAATTAAAGACCCTGAATGTCCACCGTGTTTTATGCTCCAGCAGTGCTAAAGTTTCTGCTTGTGTCTCTCACAGCCATCCGTGGGAAACCGTGACCAAAGCTGCCATGCAGAAGTACCCAAACCCCATGAACCCCAGCGTGTTTGGCGTGGACGTGTTGGACCGTAACGTGGACCAGCGGGGACGACTGCACAGCAAGCGGCTTCTCAGCACCGAATGGGGCCTGCCGTCCATCGTTAGATCGGTACTGACTCCTGCTTCTCTTCTACATAACACAGACTGATCTGTAGGGATGCACTGAATGTTCAGCAACTGAAATTAACAAGCGTAAAGACTGAATAAATTGTACCAAACAATGACATCACACGGTTAGGGCTGCAGCTATCGATTATTTTAGTAATCGAGTATTCTACCGATTATTCCATCGAGTAATCGGATAATAAGTAATAGTGAGTCATTGCGATTGAACTGAATCATTTAACGAAAGGAACGAAACACAGTCAGACGCAAAACAGTGCTGTGTTTGGAATTACTTTTTGTTGGTGAAATAGCGCACAAACAGGCATGGTGTCTAAAACGCAAGTCTCTTAATATTAACTTCTTGTTTATCGAACTGTTGCATGAAATCGGTATCACATTTGCAATCATGCTGATTTTTAGAGGTGAAAACTGGCACTCTTCGTGTGATATTAACTTTCTTTCTGTGGTATTTTTATGCATAACACGTGCTCGCGGTGCTATCCAATTTTATTAATTTTTCTTATTATTAATACATTTATTATAACACTTACACATAGTGTTCAAATTGGGATCTGTAATATTTTCTAATGTTCTAAAAAAAATTATCTCCTTCTCCGCACGGCTGCATTTATTTGTACAGTAAAAAATACGTAGGCTAACTGAATCAAGAAGGGGGTCTCAAAAACTTGATTAATTTTAAGTTTTAATTGTGCTTTGTTTGGTATAGTGTCTGCTAGAATGTTAAAAATGTTCAGTAAATATTTTAAAATTGTAGTTTTGTAATTGATTTTTTCTTTGCTAAACAAGCACATTTTGGCTATCTAATTTATGGAATGGTGAAAAAAATTGGCAAAATATATGGTGAAAATCCGTGTATTCGGCCTTCAGTGTTTCATTTTGTCAGGCTTCGACCAAGACTTTTCATTTTGGTGCATCCCTACGAATCTGTTTGTTTGCATGCTTCGTGGAATTAAAGCAAGCAGCTGACTTTAATCTCGAAACCGTAAGAAGCTCTCAGTAGCTTATTGTTCTCGTCACGTTTGGTGGAAACCTAAATCCCGAATGAACTCCGAGTTTGAGATGTTCACATCCCAGCTATGGGAATACTTCAGCTATTCCTGACCTGATTCATAGTGGATGTAACCTCAGTTCTTCAGTGTGCTGGTCTCTGACCTGACTGAGCGGTTATATCGGTCTGGTTAGTCCTCAGAACATGTCGTCCTGGTGTCTCGTTTCTGAGTGAAGTGACTCTGAATGTGACCCTTGACCATGACATTCATTCTGCTCAAGGACCGTCCGAGGTTATTACGAGGCCAGAACTTTCCGGTATGATTCCTAGAGCTGGAGTCAGTTTGTTTTTACTTAGTACTTCTCTAACTCGGCAATAATGAGGAATGATGAAAGTCCAGTTCAAGGGATTTTGAATTCCAGGCCTTCAAGGTGATTTATTTAGTGCCGTCCACAGTACATGCTGCTTCAAAGCAGCTTTATAGAAAATGCATGTTTCAGTGCTACAAACAAACACTCTCTTTAAACACTAAGAGATCTGAGCAGATAAGAGTTTTGAGTTTCTTTTTTCTTTTTACTTCAACATATTGAATTGATTGTTTGCTATAATTAGTCTTTGAAAGCAGATCACCCACACATTACGAACAAATGTTTGTGTGTTTAAACAATCAAACCCAAATGAAGTCACTGCTCCGTTTCATTCGTTTAGTGTTCTTGTTGTCGGAAACTATCACCATAGTGGCGTCTTTTTGAGAAATGAATGAGATCTGAACCATGTTCACATGACGGGAGTAATGTTCTGTAAATAGAGTCTGTACTAGTATAGGTCAGGGTAATGGTAGAGTGTTGCTGGGTTAATAATAGTTGATCTTGTTCTGTTCTGAGTTCAGGATTATTACGCTGACTGAAACGGAACGTGGCTTTAAATCACACACTCTGTTATGCTGTTCAATGATGGTTATTAATAAATGAGTTATTCATTAAACTGCTGTCTTGTTTTTCCGCAGATAATTGGCAACACGCGGACATGTACGTACATCCAGGAGCACTCCGTAGTCGATCCCAAAGAGAAAACCTTTGAGCTTCAGTCCACTAATGTAAGTCATATCATTTATTATCAGGATGCTGTAACCATATCAGTCTGTCTTCTCTCACACATCCCTGTTCTTCATCCTCAGGCCTTTCTGTAGCACTATAGTCTTTATAAAGCGAGAGCACTGAGTTTGTGTGATTGAATGTTGCCTGTCTGTGTGTAATAGAGTTGCATTCTAGGAAGGACTGGGAGGGCGTTTGGTGTCTGTTATGGTTATAAACAGCATACTCTGAGAATGTGTCATACCCATCATGCTCTGCTTTTCTCACCGTAGATCACCTTCACTAACATGGTGTCTGTGGACGAGCGGCTCGTTTACCGGCCGCACCCAGAGGACCCGGAAAAGTAAGATTCCTCATGGTTTCTGATCTGAATGTGTTTAACGAGCTCGTCAGCCATGGGTTTGAGGTTCTCCATGGTGTCTGTGGTGTAATGTTGCGTATCTGTTTATGTTCCTGCAGGACCATGCTGACGCAGGAGGCCATCATCTCTGTGAAGGGTGTCAGTCTCAGCAGCTATCTGGAGGGACTCATGGCCTCCACCATCTCCAGCAATGCAGGAAAGGTCAGCAAACCAAAACACACTTCACCAGTCATTAGCTGTGTTTCCATCCAAAGTTGCAAAACTGGAATATCACATGAAACATTTGTGAATAAAGCATCGTTTCCATGCAGCGAGTCTAAGAGAACAAAAGCGTCACTTCCTGATAAACTGGCTCTAAATATCACAGAAAACTAGGAGAAGCCACTGAGTATAATAATTTTAATATGTGATAAATGACTTGCGCCTCAGAGCGAGCAGACGAAACACAATAAATGCGGTCGATGCTTTCGGAGGAGGATGCTGCTGTTTGGGAACACGGTCGTTTAAAACAATGATACAGAAATACTTTAATGACAGGCTTTGCTCAGGCCTTTCAGAACAACATATAGATGCTGTGAACGAGATCGGTCCGCTGGTTAGTCGAGTTATCCCATCTTATAGCGCAAATCACATGACTTGTTCGAAATACATTATATAACAATCATATTTATACTTTAAATGGAAACTGATTCTCTAATTCTATTGCAATATTTTCCACAAATAAAGGCAAAAATCTGGTAGTAATCTGATAAATCTGTGTGCACTGGAAATAATATTTTTTGAATAAAACAAGGTTATTACAAATAATAGAGATACTTAGGTCAAATAATTTATTTGACAAAACTGAGACTAAACTAGGGCTGCTAGCATTCTCAGCACTGTCAAAATAAAAGTCCTAAAAATCAAAATGAAAGTCCAACACATTGGCAAAAAAAAAAAAAAAGTTAAATAAAAAGAGTTTAATATCGGGCGATATATCACATACCCACTGGTTTGGTTGTGATATGATTACGTGACTCAGTTGTGTCAGTTCCTTTCAAATGGTTCACAAATGTGGCCCTGGAGCCCAAAAGCAGTCTTAAGTCGCTGGGGTATATTTGTAGCAATAGCCAACAATACATTGTATGGGTCAAAATTATACATTTTTCTTTTATGCCCAAAATCATTAGGATATTAAGTAAATATCAGGTTCCTTGAAGATATTTTGTAAATCTCCTACCGTAAATATATCAAAACTTAATTTTTGATTAGTAATATGCATTGCTAAGAACTTAATTTGGACAACTTTAAAGATGATTTTCTCAATATTTAGATTTTTTTGCACCCTCAGATTCCAGGTTTTCAAATAGTTGTATCTCAGCCAAATATTGTCCTATCCTAACAAACCATACATCAATGGAAATATTATTTATCAATTTCACACAATTGAGCCTTTATGATTGGTTTTGTGCTCCTTGGACACAAATGGGTCAAGATGAATGAATTCACCCAGTTTATCACAAACAGCTAGACCAATATTGGATGTTCATTGGTTAAAAAGATGACCCGCTCAGTCTGATTGTGAGTGTCCGTCCGCAGGGTCGTGAGGCGATGGAGTGGGTGATCAGACGTCTGAACACAGAGATCGAGGAGCTCGCCATCACAGCCAGAGGAACCCTGAGGACACCTATGGCCGCCGCCGCCGTCACCGAGAAATGACCGCCTTCCTCTCTGTCGCCGCTCTTCTCCACGCATCTTTCTCCAATGGTGGAAGTTCGATCTCGGCGTCCTACGCATTCAAGTGTCTACATTAGAGGCTGACGGGGACACGGCCTGAGCTTTAACATCGACCAACAAACTCTCAAACCTAGTTTTAATGAATCAGTATAACGGGACACACACATGCTCTCTAATGCGAACGATGGAAGAGGAACGTATGCCAAACCATTCAGCTCTGTTACACATGACTCTTACAGTCAGAGAGCGCAGCTGTTGGATGCTTCACCAGCACTTAAACACTTGAAAACTGTTAGTAATATTAGCTACTATTATACTAGTTACACTTAATCCAAGCATCAAGGAAGGGAACAAACTAATCCAGACTAGATTTGAAGAGGACCATCGCGGATGTTCACTGGATTCTTCAGATGCTGAGCACTGAAGAGATGATGTGCGATCATCATCATCATCATCGAGAATGTGCTATATAATGTTAATGTCTCCTTCCCTCAGTAGGGAACATATGTGCACTTGCTGTGACTGTAAGTGGGGTGTTGGATCCAGATGTGATGATGGGAAACATCAGAAAGAGGGTGAAATACATTCTATTTATTTATTTATTTTTGGTAGGTTTATGTTATTTCATGCATCCATGAATCACAACGTCATTATCTTCATCGTCAGCGATGGGTAACATGAATAAATATCAATCCTGTAGCTCTTCAGATGTATTTACTGAATGCGACGGTGAAGATGGTGCTTCTGTGTGTTCTTGCGTCTTTCCTTCTCGACTGAAATGGCATCGAAGACCTTGTGTATGTTTGGTTTACTTCAGTTTAAATATTATGAGGAACTAAAATAAAACGACTTATTTATACTGAATGTAAATGTTACTGGCATATTTAGTATTAAATCAAATAAAGCTACTTGGTGCAAAGGTTGAAATAATTTAGGAATGAATTAAATGACTAGTGTTTTAGAGATGCTCTCTGTTCATCATTTGTTCTCTGAACACAGCCAAAGCGGTTTACAAATGTTGAAATAAACTCATATTCGTACTAAACGACGGCTCGTGCTGCTTTGTTTATAATGATGCCTGAATATAGTCATAGTTTCTTATTTTAAAGATGGTTTACCAAGATGAATTATGAGATGTGATGTGTGAAGAAACTGTTGTGAATGTTGTGTCACGCCCCTAAATCTAGTTTTTAAACAGTTCAGGCATTTCTGATCTGATGCTTGTGATGATCTTTCGCGCCACCTACTGGTCATTTCCGCTCTTTTTTTTTTTTGTAATAATGATTGAACAAATAAAAATATTAACAAGCAAATCCAGATACACAAAATATGAGCAATCTTAAACTGTAGAAGAAAAATACATTAAAAAACCATAAACAACTAAACAATAGTTCAAATTTTCTTCCTTTTTCTGTAGGACATATTCACAGATTGCAGCGGGGGAGCTATATCAGAAAAAAAAACATTCTCCATGAAATCTAACAATACGTCATTCTTTTTGTTATTAATTTGCATTAGAGACTTTTTCAAAGCTTCCATTTCTGATAAAAAATAGATTACACTTTGGTATGCATTTCTCAAATTTCTGTTTATGAATATAATATTTACCTTGCAAAATGTAAACGTTAACGACATAATCATTTTACTTTTGTGTGAATAAGTACAAATAACATATTTTAAAGATAACATAATTAACATTTCTATTTCGCAGAAATAGAAGTATTTTGAAATGCACCTCGTTAACTTTATTCAAAATACAAAATTTGTAAGGATTTGACCTGGTCGCTTTCCAATTAATATCAGAAATGTTTGCATTCCAAAAGAACTTTCCTCTAGGGGAGATTTTATGCCAAATTTTAAATTTTTTGCTGCATTGCTACCAAAAGAGGTGATTATTTATTAGTTGCATCAACCCATTTGGAATAGCTTTAACCACTTGTTGAAATTCTTTAAAGACATGCATGCATAAAGTCTTCATAAGACAGAATGTTTCCTCTCTCATAGAACATAACAAAATAGATATTCCTTTCAAACCACCTATGCAAAAATAACGATTTATTCCTAGAAGTAATAAGACAGTTGTTGCATAAAAGCTTTTTATGTGGAGAAAAGTTGTGATGGAAACTAATTTTCCAAGCCAGAAATACCTGCAGGTGAAATTGAGATAATTTAATAGGTAACTTTCCTGGAAGAAAGATACGCTGTGGGATAAAAAAAAATCATTTTTTAGACAATTTCTTAAAAAATTAATTTTAAAAGTGTTGTTAATGTCAATAAAATCTATCATCTCTAAGCCACCTTCTACTCTTTTGCCTGATATAATGTGCTTTTTTAACTGGCAAGGTTTATTTTTCCATATCAAATCTAAGAAGGATTTATTGATATCTATAATATGAAAATTTGAATAGAGAGTTCTATTCAAATAAAAACAAAAGAAACAAGCTTGGCGTACACCACTATGGATTCCAAATCTTTATTCAGAATAATAGAACTATTAATATCCTTGTAAAACATTTCTATAATATCAATGAAATTATTCCCAAACCCAGAAACTTTAAAAAACTAAATAAGAGCCCCTGACTCTATCAGGTCGGAATAGTCTACTTGTCTATATTGTTACTAATATGTCTATTTTCCATAAAGCCTGTTTGGGATTCAATAATAATGTAATAATAATATGACAATGCGTTTTCCCGGCTTCGCTTGCGGAGCCCTTGCGTCACATGACGAGTTCTCCAACAACCAATAGGATTCCAGTTTACTTTTCCCTCTGACCAATCAGAAACCAGACAAAGCTTAAAGGTGTTTAAAAGTGGGATATTTGAAATTAAACAGAAACAGGCCAGAGTCGCAGCGGCTGAGGAAAACAGTGTCGTGCTCTCTGGGAATGAAAGTATATGTTTTAATGATTATTCTCACAATTAAACACCACACACGGCGAATGGTAACGGGGTATTAACACGGCGAGGGGGAAATCATCGCGTTTCTGTCGGATTTGAGGAGGATATTTCGTGTGGAATCGGCTGAAGGAGGTAACCGTTAACGACGAGAAACGCTTCTGAGTTTATTTATTATCGACGGATTCATTTCTTTAAATGTTTTAAAATTGAAAAAGTTCGCTGTTTTATATAGATTTAACGTACGTTATCAACATGTTTTAGTCTGTAGTCATCTGAACGGGTGCCGTCGCGTGTCAGGCCTCAAGCGCCCCCCCCCCGTGCTTTATAATCGTTGTATTTTTTTTCAATATTGGACTGGATTACTTGGACTCATTATGTGACTGAGATTGTTTCGTTCTGATACATTTCTTGTGTTTAATCAAATAATATCGTTGTTTAAACTCAGATTATGGAAACCGCTGCAAGAACCAAATCGAGCAAAGACCTGAAGCTTCATCGAGCTGATAATGAGAAGGTATTTGAGAGAAACTGTGTGTGTGTGTTTATTCTCAGCAAGTCTGCATACTGTCTGTTTATACACGTTTTGCAATCGTCTATCCACCAAAAACCTTAATTTGAATATTTAAATGTTTCATTTTTTTTCAAAATTATTTCCTGTACCTTCACAATTAAAGTAGTTTTCATCTGTTCTCTAAATGCTGTTACATATAGGCAATGCTACATTTCATGCTCACATCTGTGTTCACTAGAAAGTAAAGAGTCAGCTGTTATTTAGCAGATGATGCATTTGAAGATTTTTATTTTGTTCAAAAATCATGTTTTTTGTTATCATGGTTTTTATTGTGTTAGTTAGGTGTATTTAGTTTTTTAATCTAATCAAAATAACCCAGCTGCAGTTTGATTGAGATTAATTGGAATGCACAATGAAAAAAAAAACATTGTTAAAAACAAGTTATCCGTTTTTGCAAATGAACTCTGCATTTATTTATTTACGAGACGGTTTGAAAATGACAGAAAAAAACTGTAGAAATACAATGATATTTTTGATTCAGTGAAACCTATGCAATTTTTTTTTTTGCATTTATCTAGCAATTAAAATCATTTGAATGTTTTCCTTTTAAACACAGTTGCTTCTAGCTCATTTGTGTGTGTGTGTGTGTGTGTGTGTTCTCATGAAGAGTACTTTTCATCTGATATTTCAGGAGCATTTAATTTTAAGATGTCTTTTTTTTTTTTTTGCTGTTTCATCTCCGTTAAAGTGGACTTTGTATTAATACTCCTAGTTTTCCTGTTTCTATGTGTTCTCTATATGCGTTTAGATTTAGGTGACGCTGAATCATGTTCAGATCTGTATTTACTAAGAAGGTTAATAGTGCATCGTCATAGCAGATGCTCTTGACCGGAGTTATTTATAGTATAATTATCACAGTGACTAACTGTATCTGTTTTTGACGTGTGTGTACTAACTGTATCTGTTTTTGACGCGCGCGTGTGTGCGTGTGTGCGTGTGTGCGTGTGTGCGTGTGTGTGTGATGTGTTCATGTTCTGCAGCTTTCTGCCGGTGGACCCAAGAGAGTCCCAGTGACCCAGAGCGGTCAGAAGCCCGTGTCGACGCGTGTTCTCAGCACGGCTCCGGGGCCGCAGCGCGTTCAGCGTCCCGTGAATCAGCAGAAACCCCTCGGACTCCCAGTTTCTGTGAAAACCATGTGTCCAGGAGATCAGGACGTCAATCCAGATCAACTCAGAACCGCAACACACACCAAACCACAGCTGAAGTCGCTTGCTGTAGCTGAGCCTACGAAAAGTTCTGTACCCAGCAAACCGGACAAACCTCCGCGTAAGCATGACTTCTGCGGATACGTCTGATCTCATAACATTACGTCACATTGAGAACGTTATAATTATTTTTTTTTCTGTTGCTTTCCAGAATCTCCTTCCACTGGAACATCCGATATGGCCAAGTAAGTCATTTACAATCGATACGTTTTATCATGTTGTGTGACTACTTTAAGTTTTTACACAAGTGCAGTTGTCACCTCAAAGCCATTTTAAAACGCAGGAGAAAAATATTTTAGTCACTACAGGCAAAAATATTTTTTCATGTACTGATCAAGTTTGTGATTTTGGTATATTTTGCTTCCATGACATGCTGTCTTTCAGACTAGTGGAAGAAAACACCCAAAATACACTTAGATGTTTTTATATATATACAGTGGGGAAAAAAAGTATTTAGTCAGCCACCAATTGTGCAAGTTCTCCCACTTAAAAAGATGAGAGAGGCCTGTAATTTTCATCATAGGTAGGTATACCTCAACTATGAGAGACCAATTGGTGGCTGACTAAATACTTTTTTGCCCCACTGTATATATGCGCACACACACACGTCAACATTTGAAGTGGATCAAAACCTTTCATCAAAGTTGTCCTAAAACCAAAATGCATTCTTGTCTTAGGACAACTTTGATGAACTTTTTTGATCCACTTCAAATGTTGACTACGTGTGTGTATATACTGTATATATCACTTTCTATTTGCATTCTTAAATTGCAAGTATGGCGCATATCTTTTAAAGTTTTTTTTTCTCTCTATATTCTGAAGGTTTGTTCATATATCATTTACACTGATTTATGCAACATTTTATTCCTAACAGTTTGTTTTCTGATCTATGGAGTAGTCCACTCTGGAAAAACCTTTAACTCTAATATATGACGACAATCAAACTAGAATTATGAACCTGGATTTATCAAATGTTCAGTTCTATGTTCTGGAAATGTATGCAAAAAAGAGCATATTTAATTAGATAAGCCCTCAGTTGCATATTTAAACAACATCTCAGAAAATACAAAATTGTGCTATTTTTTTTTTTTTTGCTTTTTTTTTTATTGTAGAATTAATCAACTGGGTGCTATATCAATTAGTTGAATTGTGTGGGGTTTTTTTTGTATGATTATATTTGATATTCCTGAGTGTTTTTCAAATGGCTCATGTACATACAGTCTGTCTAATGATAATTTGGAAAGACTTGTATTTTCTGTCCCTGTGTTTAATGCTGCAGTGCTCTCAAAATCAGTCAATGGTCATGACAGTCCGTGTGTGTTCTCTAGGAAAGCGTGGAGTTTAGAGAATTTCGACATTGGCCGAGCTCTGGGCAAAGGCAAGTTTGGGAGTGTGTATCTGGCCAGGGAACGTCAGACCAAGTTCATCCTGGCACTCAAAGTTCTCTTCAAAAAGCAGCTGGAGAAAGCCGGAGTGGAGCACCAGCTGCGGAGGGAGGTGGAGATCCAGTCACATCTCAGGTACAAGTTCTCACCATCTGCCTGTTTTTATCACTCCGGAGTCGTTAGACTCGTTTCTCATCAAACAAAATCTGGGAGCATTTGCAAACTTCAGTGCTGAGTAGAGTTGTCTCGAGAACTGGTTCGAATGGACAAATGCACACACAATTGTCTCACTATCCTCATAAAGAGTCAGTTTTGTCTTGAGTGAATGTAAAGAGTTGAGGAAGAAAACGCCTTTAACACTATATTGTATCTGTGCATTCAGTCTTAAACAGGAACGGGTTTATTAGGCTGCGGTCATGTTGTGTCATTAAAGTTAATCAAAGAACTGAGTAATTCATAACACTGAATACTTTTTAAAGTACTAAATAATAAATAAAACGGAGTAAATTTGTATGACTTTAAGGATTCATATATTATATTTATAAAAGGAAAACTATGCAGTGTTATTTTACATTTGATTATATTTAAATTTCTGTACCTGAACTGTTTGGTTGTATTTAGTTGTGCTATTGCTAATTCATATTTTATTTATTTAGTCATTTATCAGACGCTTTTATCCAAAGCGACTTACAAATGAGGACAACAGAAGCAATCAATTGTAGTATTAAAACAACTAAAAACAGATCCAAAGCTAAAACTTTATAAATACTACCTATACACATTTTTAAAATAAAGAGATTAAATAAAAATGACAAATGCATACAACAGAATACTCCACTCTAAACAGTCTGGGAACCACTGATGTAGAACATTCTGTCCTGTGCAACAAGTGATTTATTTTATATTTTCAGGTACAGCGGTTAGTTTGAAATAAAAGTTTGTTTAACAGTGGATATTGAGTCTCACATTATTTAAACATTTTTCAAAACATTAATGGTGAACATTTTCGACTTTATAAAATGATTCTCTCAAGTCTTGGCGATTGGCCCCTATTAAACTATAATATATAATATAAACTATATTATACTCCCTGGAGCACAAAACCAGTCATAAGGGTCAATTTTTTGGAAATTGAGATTTATGCATCAACTGAAAGCTGAATAAATAATTTTTCCATTGATGTGGCAATATTTGGCTGAGATACAACTATTTGAAAATCTGGAATCTGAGGGTGCAAAAAAATCTAAATATTGAGACTCACATATTTGTTATTTTATTACCAACTTTACTTGTTTTTTTTAATTTTTTGAAGTCTTTTTTTAATTTTTTAATTTTTATTTTTTTACAAAAAACCAAAGCAAAAGTAACTGTTTTTTAGGCTGCTGATATTTGTTCATGGTATTCAGTTTTACAATTGATAGAATAAATATTTCATGTCTAATACTAATGCCAAAAACTGTCAGTAGTTAAGAATCAGAATTGCTCAAATTTAAATGATCCCAACCCATGCATTTGGAATTTAAGATGTGTGTTGAGAAGTGAACTTACTGTCTCCTTTCAGACATCCTACCAGCGACTTAACACTGGTTTTGTGCTCCAGGCTCACATATTTGTTATTTTATTACCAACTTTACTTGTTTTTTTAAATTTTTTGAAGTCTTTTTTTAATTTTTTAATTTTTATTTTTTTACAAAAAACCAAAGCAAAAGTAACTGTTTTTTAGGCTGCTGATATTTGTTCATGGTATTCAGTTTTACAATTGATAGAATAAATATTTCATGTCTAATACTAATGCCAAAAACTGTCAGTAGTTAAGAATCAGAATTGCTCAAATTTAAATGATCCCAACCCATGCATTTGGAATTTAAGATGTGTGTTGAGAAGTGAACTTACTGTCTCCTTTCAGACATCCTAATATCCTGCGTCTCTACGGTTATTTCCATGACACGGCGCGCGTTTATCTCATCCTGGAGTTCGCTCCTAAAGGAGAGCTGTATGGAGAGCTCCAGCGCTGCGGGACCTTCGACGACCAGAGAAGTGCCACGGTCAGAAACCACTGTCTGCTGCGGTTTCACAGCTAATGATTAATGTATGAAGACTGATAGCGTCTCATAATAATGTGTATATGGTCTGCTTGCAGTATATAATGGAGCTTGCAGACGCTCTGAGCTACTGTCACTCCAAGAACGTGATTCACAGAGACATTAAACCTGAAAATCTGCTTCTGGGGTCCAATGGAGAGCTGAAGATTGCAGACTTTGGCTGGTCTGTCCACACACCCTCCTCCAGGTCAGCCTTCTGCTTGCACAAAACCAAAGTTATGATTACACCTGCTTATGTATGTCATCTTTTGTTTCATTAACCGTTAAAGTGCCATAGTGTTAGGCGATATGCTCAATTTTCATACCGTCAGCCTGTGAGATCGCCGATACACGATATGTGACCCGTGCTGGTAAAATTATATGGAATGGGCACGGGCTAATTTTGAGCTACAGACAAAATAAATGAAAAATGTTGGTTGAAATTCAGGATTTTTTTTTTTTTTGGGGATCGGTTCTTATTTTTAATAACAGATAAAATAAAAAATGGCTATATTGTAAATATTAATTATTGACTCATTTTGCCTGCACAGGTCTCACATTATCGTGATAATTTAATTATTTATTTACTTGGTTTCATTGCTGGAAAGTGAACCAACTCCCATGCAAGTCTAAAAGCAGCCTAAAGTTTTTAATATGACTGAATTTGTATTTAACAATTTAATAGAAACATTGCAAATTACTAATCGTAAGACTTGCATTTCCTCGGTTATTCAAAAAGCAGCTACAGAAAACAAGCAAAGAGCGTTTACATTACCAAAGAACATCATAACTGACTTCAGTCTAGTGCGAGTTTATGCACATAAAAAAAAAAAAACTTGTGTTATAATCAGTGAAGCTGTTTACGGTGTAT